CAGTATTTTATTTTTCTGCAAAATAAATCTGTTCACCCTGCTTTCAAAAGAACTATGATATGTAGGATCAAGCACATGATGGGAGCTCACTACCATAATAAGAACACCATTATATTACATAGGCAGTATATTACGACGACAACATGTTATACTCTTAGTGCAGACCTAGATGTCCTAGCAGTAGGTCAAGAGGGCAATTCGTCCTTCCTCTTCAAAACCGATGAAGACACAACGGTAATTACACACTTTAGCTGACAGTACATCTCCACTAACCTCTTCTGCTAGGGCTCACACCTCCTCTTCTGCCTGATTGACAGAACTGCACCAAGAGAAAGTTGTGATCCTGACTTTGTAATGGGTTTTATTTTAAGAATAATTTGTTAAAAGCTTATGGTGTCAGTCTGTATTCTCACTAATGAATGATCACACTACTTTTGCACAAATTTTAGTTATTTTACATGTAAATCTGGGACTGTTCTTTCAACCATTTGTAAAGTTATAAGAACACTATTTTTTTTTTTCTTCATTTAAATCTCTGTCCCTTTAGTGTGTAAAGAAATAACGTTAGTCACACCGATAATTATTACCCAAAATCTAATTTATTGATAATACACAAAAGTCCCTCAGTGGAAACAGATGGACTTTTCCTCCCTTTAGCAGCAGAGATTGTATTCCTCAACATTTGTTGAGGAGATTCTCTGGGACTCATTTTTTCAGGTTCTTTCTGCTCCATGTAAAAGCATCTCTCTCTGGTCCTCCTGCTCTTTTATTGATTACTTCCTTACAATTTAGGAAGATGTTATAATGCTTATTTAGATTCCTTTGTTCTCAGTCTCTCTCAGATCATTAGTAAGAACTGGTTTTCAGCTAGGTTTTGTGTGTGAATTTATCCCTTTTTTTAGAACTGAAAACAATGGTTGGTGGTTTGGGCATTTTTTATTTGTTATGTCTAGTGTAACACAACTTGCTGGGCAGCAACTGCAAATGCATGTTTCTCCTTTCTTACATTTTCAATACATTTGGTTTTAACCAGGGTCCAGCTTTTCACTGGTGAATCCTTGGGTCGTTTTCGTTTTAGCGGAGGTCACCAAGTAGTTTAAAACAGTTGTATGACAAGGCAGGTTGTGTAACATGTGCATGTTAGTGTGTGTAAACTAAAATCAGTATGTGTATATAGAATATGCTCCCTGTCTCTGTAATACTCCTAAAAAAAAAATAAAATAGATTGAGGCTCTTCAGCAGTCTTGCCGGTGTCTTTTGCACACTGCAACTCTCATAAGGTATGTCTCAGTAGTTTCGTCAAGTTCACAGTAACTAATGTTACTTCTTCAGTTCCTTTTAATCTCATCATCTCACTGGTATTTTGTGTGACACATTGCCCTTCCATCCAGCACGGTTTCCTTCCATTTTTTTTAAGCAGTTTTTGGGGTGCAAGCTGCACTGAATGGTGCTACCATTTGGTAACAGGGATAGCTAAAAACATTTTTAATCTGTGTGGGTAACGCCATGAGTCCAGACAAAGGCACACAGCCAGGACCTGCACTGTAGAAGCAGCATATGGAGAACATCAGAGAATTTTATGTCATGAACTTCTCTTTTACATCTTTTAATAAATCTTAGATACAGTGTGTTACTAGCTGTTTTATTAAATCAATGGAGTTAAATCGGTATTAAATGGACTAATGTATTGTAGCATGGGGTAATCTACTCTGATTACTTCCAGTGGCTTGCATAAGTCTTAAATTTTTAAATTAATGAACACACTGAGGCCTGGCCATTTAGTTCACTGTCCACAAATGGGAAAAAAGGCTGCTGCCCTGCCACAGCCTGCAGACTGCTTAAGGGATAAGCTCTGCTGAGCCAGAATGCAGAAACTGAGTGTAACTCCGGTGCTTGCTGGAGTCTAGAAGCATGAGAGAGTATAATGCAAATTCCCTTGACCTCTTGGGGATAGCAGACAATGGCAAACGCAGTGGTGGAAAAGGGTAGAAAAGGAAAGGAGGCTTTTTGCGCAGTGCTTTTCTCCCCAGGCAACTATTCTCTGCCTTCTCCAGAAGAAGAGAAAGTTAAGAGCTGTTGCGTTAGTGCGTCAGCAGGACAGAGCAATCCATGCACCACTTCTTAAGTACCAATGACAATGTTTCCAGTATCAAGTGGTGCTCGGTATCAACCAGTATTTCTGATATGAGGAAAACACCAGTGACCACATGACAAAAGCAGTAAGCCAGCAAGAAAAAAACAGTTAAAATGTTGTTCTCACAAATCTAACAAAGCTCGAAAAAAAGCCAGTTTTTACAAGGCTCTGCTATCTGTCCTTTGGAGTGATTGGAAGACATCTGTCATGGCAAGCGAGGCTCGGGCGATCAGGTCTCAGAGGGCTACTAAATCGTTGCAATCGTTTTGGCACAGGGTGGTAACATGAGTATTCTCATGTCTCCCTTAGTACATTATAGGAAACTACATTGCTTTTTTCTTACCACTTTTCTTGCACACTTTATTTTTTTCAGGCAACGTGGTAAGGAACCCTTTCTTAAATTGCACATAAACTCTCTTTAGAAACATTTTGTGTCACCGAGCTTATGCTATATAATTCGTGAGAAATCAAATTTTAAATACACGGGATTTTCTCATAGATTTCGGTGATTTTTATCTGCTTGATGCTTCTCAGCAAACAGTTGCAGTCATACTTCCTGTAATGATATTACTTGTTGTACAACGTCTTTTTGTTTTTACTAAGGTTTGAAGAGCTGCATTGCTTCTTTTTTTATACATTTAAAAAATAATCTCACCTAATCAGAAGAACAGAACGGTGTTAAAATATAGAAAAATGTGTAGCTGATCACTAAAATCCTTCTTCCGCTCATTTTTATAGCACTCACTAATATTTCACCAACTTCAGTACTTGAAGAGATATCCCTGCAGCTTCTAGGATGAGGTTGCTTTTTTTTTTTTTTTTAGGAACTGGCTTTGCTTATTCGGAAAGGCGTTGTCAAAACGACTAAAGGGATTTAGGTGCCCAGATCCTACTGATTGTTTTTGTTTAATTTGGGCCTTTGAAGGTAACTGAGACAAGCAAGCATACTAAGAGAAACACAGCAGTATTTCTTTTAACATTTGGCAGAGTGACTAGGGGTTTAGATGAATTGTGCCCATTCTGTACAATGCTCAGGGAAAGGGACTCGCAATGTTGTTGATGTTTCTATAGAATATGATTCTTTTTTTACTCTTATGTTCCTCACCACTTCCTAGGATCCCCCTGGAGATAATTAGATATCATGCTGAAACTCCTTCACACAAACTGAAATTAGAAGAAAGGAAGCAGCTGGATGAGGATGTGTATGATGCTGAGGTTGAACAGTCAGCCTGTGCCCTTGAACAAAGCCCCTGATCTCAGAGGACTTTCTACTGAAATATACTAATAGTTCCAGCATATTTTGGAAAATTCCCTAACTATAAATTGAATGAGTTAATCCACATCATTTTTATATCAGCTGTTAGCTCAGTTAATAGCTGTGTATTAAGAAACATGATGAGAATCATGCAAGTTGTGTCTCCTGCAGAGCAGTCTCATTATGCAGTACAGATACTAAATTGCTTTCTAAACTAGAATTCTGAACAACTCTCTCCAGTTTTGTTCCTTAAGACTGAACTGCTTTCACATGGAAGGGATATGACTTACACATTGGAAGACCGCATATAATAGTACACTATATGCTGTATTCAGCATAGAATCTGTTTTATCATTTGAATATAGAAATAGCTTTTCATCATATACAGTGGAGCTATCATGGTATGGTAAACAGGAAATAAATGTATCTTGGTATATTCATCTTTTCCTTGGATACAGTAAAAATCAAAAGAGAATTCACTGAATGTGATACAAACAGAATTTTAAAGACTAATCTATTTCTTAGATATATAACCTGACATTTAAAATGAGGGCAGAAACTCCAAGCTTGTCCTATATTATCTGTAGTATTGCGTTTCCGTAGTTTTGAATAGAAATATTCAGTGTGCTTGCGTAAGTCTGAATTTTTGCTATGCTTATTCCTAGCTGTTTACTTAAATTAATAAGTATGAATTACCTGCTGACCAAAACCAATTCAATTATACCTAGGCATGTATCCTTTCATATGTTGAGGGGAAAATTGTGTTCAGTAATTCTTCTCATGTTACCAACAAGAGAGGAAGAAAAATATTGCATGAGTGTTTTATAGTCCAGTCCAACCCACTCTGATCGAAGCCGTGATCAGTGGATTGTTGTGGTTTAAAGACCTGTTGCCAGTGATGAAGGACAGAGGAATGTAGGCAGAGTTTAAAGCAGCCATGGTTTGTTTCTCACTCCATCAGACAGCAGCATGTGCTGTGCTGATTGACCGTGGCATCTAGTAGGGGTCCAAGGACTCAGCCTCATACCTTTAGAAGACACATTAATTGTTCAGCAATTAGTTTCCTTAACAATAAAATAAAACTATGTGGTATATAAAGAGCAAAATACTTAGCAATATTATGGCCAGTTTTATAATTATTCCAAATAGTAGCAGTTATATGCCTGTTTCATGAAGCTTTGAGTCAGGTAGGGAAGATGTCTAGCTCTAAATTCTATCCTGTAGTAAATTACACTTGCAGTTCTTTGGGAGCAAAAAAGGGAAGATAGTGTTCAAATTTATTTGCTGTCTGTTAGGAGACACAACATCAGGGATGACACTGTTACCAGCACTATCTTGATAAATTGCCGGAGCACGTAGGTCAACAAAAGGCTGTGGGATCTGCAGCTGTAAGGACATGTACCAGTTCCATGTCCCTTGGTTGGGTTTTGGGTTTTTTTTATAGTGTACCTTAAATATATGGTGTTATTCTTACATATACACGCTGAGTTGGTAAAACAAATAAGGAGAATTGATTTAACCCATTCTTAAATATCAGACCATACATCTCTCCTCCACTCTGAATTTTGGGAGCTGGCACTTTACATAGCACTTGTTGGATTCGCTTTCCAGATCACGTGAATGGTCACTGTACAAGCCCAACATCCCAGAGCTGCGGTTCAGGAAAGCGACTTTCCAGCGCTGATGTCTCAAAAGCAAACCGCCGAGGGCCTGGGAGGCCCCCCTTCAGAAAAGCGCAGTCTGCAGCCTGCATGGAGATTTCTCTCCCGGTCACCACAGAAGGTGGGTGGCATTGACTATTTTGTTAAGTATTTGTGAAATTCTCAACGGGTGTGAAAACAAATCAGTTTAGCATGATCCTTGTCCTAGTCATCGCCCTGAACTGCTGTCTTCATCTGACTGTTTAGAATTAGAACGACGCGTGTGCGTTCGTGTTGTTACTAACAAGCCTGCTCCTGAGCTCTGTGCTGCCTAGGGATGTGATTTGCTGAACCTCGCCCGACTCTTACAGCCGTCCCCTCGCCTGTACGGATCCGGTGCTTTGTTCTGGAAGAGCAGTTGTTCATAGCAGCTTATGTACAATTATTGTGACAGCTAGTAGTACTAACATTTTAAACTCTCATTGTCTCTACTTACCAAGTCTGAAAATGAGTAAGATATTTTTAGAATGTGAGTTCAGGCTTAAATAAATAAATAATATTTATTGGCACCGAAGACTTTTATAAAATTGCACAGTCCCTGTCCATCTTTTACAGTAAAACTATAACCCATAATCTAATCAAGTTTTTATATTTCTAATAATTTTCTTGCTTTAATGCTTGAAAAAAAGTCTTCAAATCTTGATCTATCTGAGCGTCGACTCAATGAAAATGAGAGATACAAATTGTGCCACTCATGGCGATGCATTGTGCTTAAAACTTAGAATAAGCCCGTTGTAGTTTCAGCAGTGCCAACTATTTCACTGCAGATTGTATAAGCAAAAGCATTGAGCTGACATGTTTTTCTTCGGTCTTTATAGTGTTCCCACTCTGCTGGTGGTGTCCTTGATCCTTGTCTTCCAGCTCCCCCCCATTCTTCCTATAGAATTCATGTATTGTCTGCACAGAAAAGATGTAGTCTATCAAAAAGGTGAAAAAGCATAGCATCAAAATAAATGGGTAGGACTGTAGTGTTGGTTGCGTTCAATTTTAGTAATAGGCAAAAACTGTAATAGTATTTAAGCAATGGAAATTATAGAGTTTGATATTTTTATTATTAAAATAATTAACTTTAAAAATTAAGTCTTTTAAAAACCCAGGTTATAATTTTAAACAAGTTGCATAATAATTTCCTAAGTGCCTAAGAGATGATGATCCCCTGTGGCGACTGTCTGGGTTGTAGCATGACCTGACCCCCCTGATGCTGTAAGTGATAGGTAATCAACAACACCATGACCTTAGCACTCTGTCTTGAAGGAACATTTGTATCCTAACCTGCCCACCTGCAAAGGTGTCTGCACCACAGTTCTTTACAGCTGGAACCAGTACTCCCTAAGTTTGCTGACTGTTAATGGAGACAAAGCAAGGGGAATTGTATCACTCGCACTGTCTAATTTTGTATTTTTAAATGCAAATTATTGCAAATAACTTTGTTACTAGTGGCAAATTGCTAGAATCTTTGATTCATGTTTTTTTTTTCTTTATGATAACATAAACTAGCAAATTCTTTATTGGCCTTTCTTGTACTTACTGTGGGGGACACACAACAGAAAAAAGAAAAAAAAAAGGTGTCTATGTGGGTGAGAAACCTGTAAGAAAATATCCTAATTTGGCACAGAGGGTTCCAAGATTATGTTCCTGACTGGAATGGAGCCGATATCCTGAAGTCTGTTGCAGTGTCCTCTAGCAGCTCCTTCTACTTAAGAACAGCATTTACCTACATTCATTCATGGGGCACAGGGCAAAGCATGGCGCTCTGCAAAACGGCTGCACTCACCGGAGGTGTTACCATCTTCCAGCTTATGTCATTAGGTCCCTGGTTGTCACCTCCCATCGAGCAGATGCTAACACACCAGAACTGGTGGCAGAGAGATCCTTTAAGTTTTTCATTTTTGTCTAAGTACAGAAACATTAGCTTTCTGTAAAGCTTTCCCTATTGGGTTACATTATCCAACTCCCTTTACAATAACGCTGATAAGAAATGTCCACGTTATCTATTTTTCCGACTTTACTAGACGAGTATTAACGTTCTGCAGAGGAACAGGGTCAGAAACTTGGAGAGTAGTGACATTTCAACTGATACTGTTGTTTCTTCAGTGACCGTCCAACCATCTCTCCTTTAGGGGAATGTTACCATATCATTGTACTCTTAAAGATTAAGTCATAGGCTGAAAAGCAAAAATGTTAAATCGCATTGTAGGATTCATATATGACAAAGTGTAATCCTCAGCAATCACTTATAAAAAGAAGTAATCCTGTTTAAATACTGAAGCTACTATAAATTTCAGTTTTGACTTGGATTAATTAACGGCTCCTGTGTGAACGTTGTACTAAAGCAGATTTACAGAGCTCTGAGGTGTTTAGAAATTCATGTGAATAAGGGCGGTTTTCATCTATGTAATCACCAATTCTTCCTGCACATTAGTTATTGATGACGATCATAACATAATCCTTTCATCCACCTCTCTTTATGCACCACACAAATATGGTAAGTACCGTTGTCATATAATAGCTCGTGGTGGGAAATAGATCACTGCCACAGCAGTTTCTATTGCTGTGTGGTTCTCTTCATTCTCTTTAGTACCAGACTCTTCTGGAATTCTTCAATGGAGATACTGCTGCAATATGAGCACTACTTGTACTTAACCAGCCCACAGTACTACCTAATTCTTTTATGCTGCTGCTTTTCTTTTTCCCTCCCATCCTCACAGAATAAGTAGGGTCACCGACAGGCAGAACCTACAACCCCCTAAGATCCCACTGATGCTTGTGTCCAGAACATTTATTAATACAGTGATATTTTCAACGGAATGATGATGCTTTCTGTATATCTGTATCCTGAAAGATTCACATTCTGTTGTTCATCACTAATTGTAATACCTGTGAAGTTCAATATTAAAGTATATCTCTTTAGAGAGATAATCATCTAACTTCTTTTCAGGGACGTGGAGTAAATTTAAGTAAGTGACATTAAAAAAATCCCTATTTAAAAGTATCCGTGGTGTCACTTAAATGGTATTACAGATATCGGTAAGGTCAGTGAAATGACTGTCTTTAGAGTAATTTATATTAACATGTAATAGGATGGAGTATGGCTTTGGTTTGTCCTTGAGTGTGGGGATTTGTGTACAAGTCACATTTCAGCAGGTCTATAGACTAAAATAATTTTCTGATTATTTATATTCTCTCATTAAAACAAAGCCATCTGTCTGACTTGTCTAAACTTTTTTTTTTAGATGCGCGTGGCATTAGTCTTTTGAATTCTAGCTCTACTAACTGATCTGTCTGGAATGGCTGACATTCCACCATTCTTCACGCATCTCGAATTGCTCAATGGATTTGGCAAGTGGTTTGATTTATACTAAATAATACAGTGGAAGGTGGTATGATCCTTGAAAGATTCTTGGGCTGGGATTAAGGAGGAGAGTGAGGGAGAAGGAAGATGAGAAGTTAAAAGGTTTGTGAAAGTACATACTGAGAAGAAGCATTCTCTCCAAAATGTGGAACTGTCTGACCAAAACCTTCTGGTTGGGCTGTTCCAAGATAAACGAAAAAATCCTCTCTGTGCTAAGAATTTATTGGCTGCTTAGGAGTATATGCTGCAATAAACAATAGATGTATTCACAATAATTTTTTTTTTTAATGCGATGTATCAAGATACATATTTTATGTCCTTGCTAGAGAGGTAGTATTTCAGGTTAGTATTTGATAGGGTTTTATTATTCTACCTGAGTAGAATTTTGATTAGAGGTTGCTATCTCAGTAGCGTTAAGCGTTTTTTATACATTAAGAAAAAAGTCTTCATGTGGGGGTAGATGGTTCTTACCTTTTCTTAAGCCTATCTCTGCAGCACTGATAACACTGAGAGATTATTTTTAAATAATGCTTCTGGTTCCTGATCTTTACAACCTCTTTAATTGATTTGATTAAAAAGGTAATAGATCTTGGTGACTAATCATATCTATTAGAATAAATCAGTTTTCTCCTCTAGCACTGGATTTCAAAACCTACTTACTTAAATCTGGTCTTTCTGTACAATGGGAACTCTATTTCCAGCATTTTCATCAAGTCTATTTTCAAGCAACTTTCATGCAATAAATTCTTCTGACTTCATTCCTGTTAGCTGATTGTCAAGGTTTTGCTGAGTCTTACATCTTTACATGTGTAGAAGGATTCCTGATATAGAAAAGTAATTTTTAAGAACTTCTTTGCAATGATGCATCAGAGAAAGAAAATGGAAGGGGGGGGCACGGTGTGTCGTCTTGTTGCCTGCTGGTCAAAATATTGCAAACTGTTCAGTTTCATAAAGTGCTGGTATTTCTTCCACACTCATAGAAGAATAAATCACAAGGCAAGTAAGAGTAGCAGAGGAGTGGTGTCTATGCGTGCATGGTTACTGTTACTGCTTAAACCTATGTCCTTCCCTAGTATCCTCATCTAACACAGAAAAACTTGAAAAGCTCTTTTTAAATTCAAGTAGATTTTATTCCAAGCTAAAGATTACTGCTATTTCAGTTTCAAAGCCTGTCATGTTGTTTGGTTGTTTTGGTTTTCTTTTTTTACCCAGAACACTAGTGTGTAGATCAAATAACTTTTTATGGCTATATTTTAGTCAATAAATAGCCAGACATTTAATACAGCACTTCTCAAATACCATTTATGCTCTTTAAAATGTTCCATGTTGTCCTGTAGTATCTTCTGGTTTCATAAATGCAGTATTCTCACTATAACTATATTCAAAAATTCTGTAGTTGCTCAATATTCTATCTCTAATTTTAGAACTTTACAAGTTCTTAATAGCATATTATTGATTTTAAACAATCTTGTTTTCACATCCTTTTGATTAAGCTGTTTCTTCCTTGAAATAATATAGAATTTAATTGCATTGTAAACAAGATCACAAATTTAGGAAATTCCATTGCTGAACTGCTAAAATCTGAATTTCTTCTAGTCCTTTTCAACCAGGGGTTTTTGAGACTTTAGGAGTTAGTGAATATATTTCTTTGAGAAGGTTTTCTAGCACGGATTATAAACTTTTTTTTTTTTTAAAAAAAATCAAGTTAACATTGTGCTTTTAAATATCAA